ACACACAAAAAAAAAGAAAAAAAAAAAAAAAACATGTAGGCACCAAGGGTGACAGGAATACCCTAAATCTTGCACCCTAAACAATCCCTGTAAACCCAGCGGCCGTTTCATTTTCCACTTCCTTCCCCCGGGCCTCTCCATTATTGGGGTAGAATGCCTACATAAACGCTAAAACCCAAACCCCAACCTAAAATAGTAGTTTCCATTTCGTTGTCCATTTGATGTTGCTTTTAGTTATCCAATATTTTCTTTTCCATTACAGTAAAGGGCCCCTAGTTCCCTAAACCCTCCAACGGAATTGCGATTAATCATGGGTCCCCAATATAAAACTATAATCCCTATATAACCCACTATAGTAGTTCCCATTGTCTTTTCCATTACCCCAATATAAACCCTAAACCCTAAACCCATTAGTCATTGGTCTACATTGCGAAACCCTAAATAGTAGTTTCCATTTCATTTTCCATTTTCTTTTCCATTTGATTCTCCATTATAGGGCCCTAAACCTTAGTAGCTTCCATTTTCTTTTCCATTATCCCAATATAACCCCTATATATACACACATATATATATATATAGATAACTACATTACAGGGCCCTAAACCCTGTATTATTGGGTACCACAACGGAATTGCGATTCTGGCCTTTGGCTCGACCTTCTCAGCCGTTCGATTCGTGACCTGTGCAGGCGATATACGTAGGCTTCAACTGGCTTGAATCTCAGCTGGAAAAGTCTGCTACCGAACTCCTGGCTGTAAGGCTTCAGAAAATTCAGCACCATTTGTGTGAACAAGTCTCTTTGGTCTATGTGGCTCACTTGAACACTCTCATCCAACCTACCGGATCCTCCGCTGACTGGGATTTACCCTGCCGCATGTCTTCGCAGCTTCTACTTCAACGGATGTCCTGCATGCTGCAAGGTTCTGTGCAATCAGCCATCTTCGGTGTAAATGGCACTTCTTGGCACTGCAGGAGTACAGTGCTACTAGCAAGGTGCACAGAAGCCTGTGACAGTTTGCCGCTACTGACATACAGCCCTAGCGTGTCTGCCTCCAGTTCCACAGTGAAGGGAACCTCAACTTTCACCTGGTTGGGACAGTCCACGACCTGCAGTCAGCATTGCACAGGCTCTCTAAGATGCCAAAGGAACACTGCCCACCCCTCCTCCTCCTCCTTCACCTCCTCCTCCCTGGCTTTTTACTCCTTGCACCACTCTTTGTGCTAATCCTGCTTCATGCTGCTCACATCGTTTTCTTATCACTCTGTCAATGGTTGCTTGTCTCGTTCATGCTCTTCCTCTCGAACCTTACTACCACCCCTCTATCATCGCATCCTCAAAAAAGGCTTCCGCAAGTACGGCGAACGAAGAGAACCTGTGCAGAGGAGTGGCAGCCAACACGACCATCATTCCCCGGAGCTCCCGCATGAGTCACATGCAGGTATGCAGTATGCATGCATTGTCTTTTACTATCCTTGAAGCTTGCTATGCTCGATACATTGACTTGTGTGCTGTCAGTCCAGCCATCATTTCCCTGCCAGCATCCTCCCTCATGCGCATCTTCAAGCAGTACTACTAGTATTTGTCAGTCTTGATCTGGCTGAAGCGAAATAATCACTTATGTGCATCGTGTTGAATTCTCGGTTCCAATCCCTTCCCCGCCCCACCCCCTCCCCCCCTCCCCCGAATTCTTGGTACCAATCCTTTCTCGCGGCCCCAAATATCATACATCCTCCTTACACCCACACCCAACACCTTGCATATGCCCATATGCCGTGTGAGAGCTCACTTATACTGGGGCAGAGATTTAGCAACACTCATAGGAATACTGTTCGTGACAGCAAATCTAAAGACACGAGTAACAACAACATATAACAACAACTACTAACAAATACTAAACACAAATACATGACGTAATGTTCTGATCCCCCTTAAGTATATAGAACATGGCTGTGGGTACGCTATAGTAAGATCCCCATATATTCAATCTTCTATCTACTTGAGGGGGATTATAAATTCCCGGCCTGCAAGTCCAGACTGGGAACCTCCGGTTCATTCAGATAAAGAGAGCCGTTGGCATGAAGGAGGTTTACAAAGCTGTACCCAGCACATTCTATGCGGGACCTGGCCTAAACTACTGTTCCCAAATTGTAATAGGAACCTCACTACAGGGACTTATATTATAATGAATCAAGGCGATTCTAAGTTCTTGAAAAGTTCCTAAGGTTGATGCAGTCCCCTAATTAAAATCACCAAGCCCCCAAATAACAAAGTCACCTTCAGTATAAAATCGTGCTAAAACAGGGAGGTTTCAATGTTCGGGGCAGTGCAGTATTCCATGTTGGCGGGTTATGAGAGTGTAGACGGGGCAGTTCGCACAACTGGCGTACAGACTGCTGGGTTTGGGGTGCATGTCATTTGATACTGCAAAAGGACAACCTAACTCAGAACAGACAGATAGCTGTTGGCCATGTCATGCAGCAGGATGCCACTCTTTGTGAACCTACATATACTTCCCAAATCCGTCATACAATCATGCAAATCTTGGGGTTGCTGCGTGCAACTTAATCCTTGCAGCCTGCAAGCCCGAACCCTGCCGGAAAAGGCCAGCTCTAGGCCAAGCAATCTCAAGATGCATTTGTAGTCGCATATAGACTCAAATAGGGACAACAATAAAGCAGGGATTTGACAACAAAAAAGTCGAAATCGCAATATCTTCGCTTGACCCGTATTGCCGTATACATCCCTTACAAGGGTGTATACCCCGACATGGCTGCTTTGAGACATGAGATGTATAGCTTCTGCAAGTAATTCGAAATGCCCAAGCCCTAAAGCCTAAACCCCCCAAACCCCTAAAACCTGAAAAGCCCTAAACCCCTGTGTGTTTGAGATCCATGCCGCAGATCTTTCATCCAACTTTTTCACTCCCCTGGACTAGCTTCATTTTGGGGGATCTCTCGTCACTTTAAACCCAAGTTTAGGGTTTAAGCCCCCAAACCCCCCCAAATCCCATCTTAGAGCCACATAATCCCAGTTTCCATTTCATTTTCCATCTTCCGAACTATTCTCCATTAGAGAGGGAAATAAGGGTCCCTTAACAAGGCTAATGTTGACAGTAGCTCGGTAGGTCATATAAGCCACTATATAATCCCAGTTTCCGCTTTATGTTCCAGTTTTTTGCCACGTGATTCTCCATTGTAGGGGCACTGTAGGAATTCTAAGGTCTGACCTTAAACCAACTTCCAGCCTGCACTGCTTTCATGCGAATCTGGTGACCCTCCAGACACCCAGAAGGTCCGTCCGGTACCTTGTCACTAGTACTCAGGGCTAAGGGCTCTAGAGGTAAGGTACAGATTTTAAGGCTTAACTCCTTTAATTCGCGGTTCAGGCAAGGGTTTGACGGATGTTTTGGGATATGAGGTGAAAGCTAGTGTCTTGGGCTTTAATTGCAATTCCAACGGGTGATACAGGTGTTTTTTCTGAAAACTAGAACTCCTTACATCATAAGATTTATGTAGCATGTGGGGCCCTGAACTTGGGAAAACCTTAGGAGGCTTTGGGGGCCGCAAACATTAGCGTCCTACAATCTCTCCATGTTGCACATGTAACATCATCTAGTCCCTCTACATCCAATACACCAATACACCATATGGGAAATGGGGAGTCTGCCTAATACTAGTTAGGAGGACCCCCCCTCATAGTGGTATAATATGCGAGAGACCCAATATAATCCTTAGCATCCCTTATAGTCACTATTACTGGTTGTGGGGTCCACCTAAAGTCTGCCTCTATAACGAAGCAAAGCTGCACGCCAGGAAAGCGCCAGGGAGCCAACGAGCTCTTGCTGGCGCACTGCCCCCTGAAGCTTCCGGGTAGCTCCAGCAAGTGTTAGGATTTGGGATTGCATGCGGAGTGGTTGAGGACTTCTTCCCTACTTAAGGAAGCATCCAGTCAACTCAGGCTAAGGAAAGGGAGAGTGCCGTAGCAGCCAGGATCAAAACACATGTTTGAAGGGGAAGCCTCCGTTCGTGCGCGGGGAGTCGCCCACCAAATAGGTGCTTGCAACTGCCCGGATAGCATCGAACACGGAAAGCGAGGCAAAATATTCCCTCCACAAGAGCCTGATGAATGACAAGAATGACGTGATCAACATCTTTACTTGTAGATGGATGCTTCCACAGGCCATCGCATCTCTTCACATTCTGAACAAATGGATCCTAATCACAACGACTGCTGGATAGAATCTTGACTTTCGAGTCTGCGTACGTTCCAGTATAGCGAATCACCAGGGATACAAGTAGTACTAGCCCGCAGGGATTGTGAAAATCTACAGAATCCCACTACAACTTCTTTGCACAGCTTCGGATTCAGGTTCCAGTCACTGGCAACCCAAACCTCAATCCGCAATACCCCTGAATCCTGAACGCTCAGTGAAAGCCAACTTCTGTTGGGCTGCCGAGTCAACTGACGCCTCCTTTGGGAAGACACCTCAGCTTTTGGATTCTACATGGGGCCTCTCCAAATCTGGGAAACATAGTCAGACCTCTTAGGCTTCTCCAAATGTGCCTACTCTTCGCGGATGACCACCTAGAGGGGTTGTGAGAGATAAACTTACAGGGAGTTAATAGGGAATGGAGGATTGGATCTCCATGGTAGAGACTACCTCAATAAAATTATCTCGTATATGTGCGTTCTTCATTCACTACTACTTAAACAAGCAACAAGATAAAGGCGGTGATGACTGGCTGAGAAACAGGCTCGATTCAAAGGATTGTGGAGGCTGAAGCATACCTCGACGTGAAGTCCTGCTTGTGGTCATCTCTTGCGGAAAAGCCTTATAGGAACTTGCAAGAAAAGAGGTTCATGGCATATCAGGAATGGGCAATGAGTTCAGCCACCACATGCTACATGTCTACAACGTAAACAGGCTGCTAGGCAGATCTAAGTTGGCTTCAGGGGTTTGCGATTCCTTGGTGCAGGACCCGTAGGTTTGTATGTGGATTTGGGCCCAGGTACTTTATATAGGGTTATATAGGGTCATATAGGGGTAATAATGGGATAACGGAAGAGAAAATGGAAGCTACTGTAGGTCATGGGCCCCAGCCTCACAAGAGCCTACACACGGCCACGGCCTGGACTGGTAGAAGCACGCCGCAACTGCAGCAGAAGTCGGAAACTGAAGAATATTTACCCCAATATACCATACTAGTTCCCATTTTATTTTCCATTATCCCAATATGACCCGTATGTAACCCCTATATAGAATTGTTCAATGCATCTTCGATCGTGAGCCAAGGCCCCCTCCAGCCTCAATCCCAGACTTTGAAAACCCTCCAGACACCTGAGCCCTCCTCCTACATCCCTCAACCTTTATATAGCCCCTTACATTCCCTCAAATGTCTACTTCATTTTGCATTTTCTGTTCCATTTGACTCTCCATCCCTAATCTTGGAAAGAACCCGCGCATCTCAAACCCTGGGCTTTACCCTAAACCCTAAACTTTAGGCCACCAAGGAACGGAAGACGAGGACAAAGCAGCCCCGGGGCTTCAGAAGAAGGGGGCCCCCTAAAAGGTCAATTTTGAATAGGGTGTGGGGTTTAGGATTTTTAGGGCTTTAGGATTTAGAGTTTAGGTTTTAGGGTTTAGAATTTAGGTTTTAGGGTTTAGAATTTAGGTTTTAGGGTTTAGAGGTTGAGTTTTAGGGTTGAGAGTTTCGGCTTTTAGGGCTTCCCCCACTTTGGGGTTCATGCTGTCTTTGAGTTCCCAGCAGGGCTTTGGATTTTGTTGCACAACTCCGCAAGATTAAGCACTCCCCATTGAACTGGGAGACATATTAAGTATTCGGCCTCAGCGGAATATTCGCCCATAGGATAGTTCAAAGATAGTAGGGTCTCGGTTGGCTGTAGTATACTTCAAACTTCAAACTCTACCTTCAAACCCCGCTTCTGATTAGCAATGCCTCATACTTGGAAAGGGGCATCTTTTCAATTTTGTAGAGACTGTTGTAGGATCAGGGCAATACCCCGCAGAGAACGACCTTTGGGTTTACTTCAGGATCCTTGCATGCTTCTGCTTCACTCTCTTCGCCCCCGCAGCTTCTCTAAGTATTATATTGTGGCCAAGCCTGCGCTCGCCTTCGACCCCTGAACCTGTGAACCCCTAGGTTCTTTAAGCCCTAAACTTCTAAACCCCCACCTCTCTTAAAGAACCCTGGAGACCAGGGGGCCTGTGATCGGGTCGCTGTCCACCTCTGTCAGGAGCTCGCTTAGGAAGCCCGGAGCACAGTCCAACTGCCAGGAAGTCCTTCCATTGCTTTTGCTTACTGGGGGTTTGAAGGGATATAACCCTAATCACCCTCATAATGGACAATCAACTGGAAAATGAAATGGGGCCCCTTTTGGGGTCTATATATGCCTACATTGGACTCCAAAGCCTTTACATGGCACCTACGTTGGGCTATTTTTCACCGTAGAGTACTCAAAAAAAATATTCGCTAAACCCCTGCATTCCACACGCCTAGCCCCTGAACCTTGACACCTACCAAACAAGAGACCCTGGACAATCTAAACTGCAAAGTAGCCAAGAAGCAGGTAAATGCTACCCTGTGTGGCATTCTCGATGGAACCTCAGCGGCACGGAGTGGGAGACAAAGAGGGTTCGTGAACAGGTGGAAACATGCCATAAACAAAATCCCCTACGCCCGGCACAGAGACATCCCTAGTACATGCTACGAGTTCAAACGTCTTTCCAAAACACTAACGCCGCCAGTGCAGCCCGAGGGTCACTCCACCAGAAGCTGCCGATCCTTGGTTCACATGAGCGTAATCGACAGCTGCTTGCAAACATGTGTCTCATGTGTCTGCCCACGGTCCCTGGCCTTGCTATGCAAACAGCATGAAACTGCCACATGGCACTCTTCCCATACTTTAAGAAGTACAAATCCTTCTCACGACCGTCAGGACCATGAAGTACAGGGCAGCAAGGGAACCTGGGAATCTACTGCGGTGCTCTTTTCGAAGCCCTGTCGGCAATCTCACTGACCATCACACGGAGCACACTGCTAAGCTATAGCACTCCATGAGGCCAAGATCATCAGGCCCTGCTCAAGAGTAGTCCAACTGGTAGTTTCCCTACATAAGGGGAACCCCATATAGACTTCAAAATACTATAGTCCTTATTATAGGGATCCCCAAAAAGGTACCCCTAGTTTTCGGAAACCCCCATATAAGTTGGAATCCTGAATGTTTGGGAAAGTCTGGTGCGGCAATTCTCTGCCCAGGTACGAACTGGATGACGCGATGAGACACCGCAAAGGGCTGCAGTGCAGGAAAGCGATATGCTCGCCGGAACTGCCCCTGATCAAGGACCCCAGCCACGGTCTTGGAAATGAGCTTGTCAAATCTAATATACCGTAATATAATACAATATACCATTATATATCTATATATATATTGTAATTTACCATTTCAATATACTATTACATGCTATATGAATGGGAGTTGCCCATGTTGGGTTCAGGCCCCTGGAAATACTTGGGGTTCCTATCACAAGGCTGCCTGGCCTAGCAATTGCTGCATGTCTGTAGCTGTCACAGCAGGAAGAGTCAGACAAGCGCCTCCAATGCTGTAATTTGGGTCAGGGTCGAAGTCAGGTCCAGGCAATGAGTAGAGTTTACGGATGATGAACGTTTGCAGTTCTAGGCTAAGGGTCAGTGACCAGGACACCTGCATCAACTAGCTGCTTTAGTAGCAATCTTTCTAGATTCTAGATCTCCAGTCCCTCTGTATCTCATGGCCTCGTGATGGAGTGTGATGCTCTTCAAGTTACGTTCCATAGCTAGCTATCCTTCTCCTCTGATCGATTACTGTAGGTCTTGTGCTTCAGGGCCGTATAACGGTAGGATGAGTGTAGCCACCTGACACCACCGAATCCCGGAACAGAAGGAACTTTGCACTGGACTGCTTCCTCAATGAAACCCTGCCAGATGCGCCTGCTCTCCAGCGCATGTGTATGACACGATGCATGTCAAAGCCTGGGCAAGATGCTTTGCAAACAAGGAGCGGAGCTTATTCTGCGCACTGAAACTTGAATTCTTGAGATCCTTCCTGAGTGCTGATCTGGAATTTGGCCCCATCAGGCCACCCTTTTCTCCGTAGGGTGAAAGCTCCCAGCGGCTTAATGCAGCGTTTAAATTCGGTGATGCAGTACGTCAAGCTGTCTGACTGTTGTAAATGTTGTAGATTCCATGCGCCGTCCATCATTGGGCCATCCGGAAAAATTGCAGAAATCATGTAGGGGCATTTCTTACAGCCAGGCTTTTATGACTCCAAAGAGTTGGCTGCACTTTCCTGATCCGCACCGCAGGTGGACACGAGACTCTTACTCCCGTACCATTTCCAAGCAAACCAGACCGACAATCTCATAAATGCTGGGCTACGTAGGTGCCAGCATCCCGCAGGTCGTGGTGGACGAGGGCGTCTACGAATTCGCCTGTGGAGCTTTGTGGCAAAGAGTGAGGCTGCAGTTTTGGCCCCTTACGACATGTCCTTTGTGAATTCTGTTGCTCTCTGACCAGTCTCGCAAGCAAAGACGAATGGGCCTGGCGGCAGCGACTTTGTAGGAGATGCCTGCAGAATTCTGCTGCACATTGACTACATTGGCAAGCTTGGCGATTTGCTCTGCCAGCATGCATGTCGCATGAACAGCATGGGACTGAATCATGCTGAGGCATGCTCATGTATGCCATGGGGCGCGCTCTGAAAAAAGAGGCAGCAAAGTCTGTCATCTGCCCAGGTATACTGGTTCAAACCTGTGTGCCACACTGCCGAAACACGGTTGCAAAGTCAAGTTGCAGCGGTGTTCAACAAGGTGAATTTCGAAGCACCTGGAGCGCAGTTGACCGTGCATGAAACCTGCCTATGAGTCGTAGGCTCTGAGAAGCATCGCCCCTTCCCCTTTTTTCCGTACACTTATGACAAGGGTACAATATTGTTTGCGGCCACGTGGGGTGACGCTGATTTGAAGATACCAAACTTGAGGCCACATTCTGAGCCCGAGCCAGATGTGATACTCCGTGCGCCTATGTCGATTTCCACCCTCATGGCCACATTCTCCACCATCTGCTGACTCGAGTTCAAGATGTGAAGGTAACCTGCGCACTCATGACTGTAGGAAGCACCCGCCTTGCAAGAGCATGGCACCTAGACTGGTAAGATCTACCTCTTTTCCCTTTGCAGGCCTGTGAAAGGCTCACCCACGAGTGACTGCTGCAAAGCCTCGGCACAACCGGCGCACAGACTCGGGCATAGAGCATGGCCTCCCCCCCAAGAAAACATCCTGTGCTGTATTCCGAATCATGATGCTGGTAGCTCAAGCAACAGCACGTGTTCTCCATGAAAATCTAGCGTGCATTTGAGAGACCATGGGAACCAGCGCTTTGGGCACATCGAGGCCTCCGCACATTCCAAAAAGGGTCTCAGCAGCAGAGGTTGCTTTTTATCCAGGATTTAGGACGAATTTAGCAGCATTCTGCGACGTTCAAGCTGGCTTTCTGGCAGAGGGTGAGCTAGACATGCTTCAGCGGCATCACAGCGCCACAAGAATTGGATGGATACGCGCTTGGCCGGGTTGCTGCATGTAGTATGTGTTTTTCGGGTTTGTACGCAACGGCAGGAGCTTTCCGAACTTCTCAAACTCAGGAGTCCTTCTAAAAAGCCCTCATCAGCCTCATTAGACGACACCCATTGTCTAAGGCAGGGTCCTGCGGATATGATATGTGCCGCATTTTGGAGGCTTTAAGCACAGACTCTCCAAGCTACAGCTGAATCAGCAGAGCCTTGAAACGGCATCGGCGGGGCTGTGCTGGGCTGTCGCAGGCGCATGACCTCAGCATAGGCCCCCGAGAATTGCAAATGTGTGCTATAGTTTTTCAGGCGCGGCAAGCATTCAAAAAGAAAGCTCTTGTTCGTGACTTGGCTTCCCCACGCAACAAAACACTCATGAGGGTCAGAGCTTCACGTTAACAGGTGCCCACCTCAAGGCCCGTCTTCTGCATGTCAAACGTACGTAATATCATAGGTATATACACATGTATAATATCTATATATATATATATATATACATACACATATATGCATATGGATGCACATATAGAAGCAACGTAAAGAGATCTGCAAAGGAGCTTTACTCTTGTACATACCCGCATGCTGGGTCCTGACATTCAAGTAGCCAAGCTGCCTTGAGGAGGAGTGGCTCAGGTTGCTGCATGGCTGCGTACCGGATACGCAGGCGTGGCTTTCTTCAAGACGAGCTTGCGGGAGAACAATGCAAGCAGCAGCGGTGAGAGCGAAGGAGGCTGTTGGCCGTGTGGCGGTGCAGTTGTGGGTGTTACAATGCCCCCCGCACAAGCTTACAAGAGTGGACTCCCAAGCTGTGCGCTTTCATGAGAAGCGCAGGACGAAGAGTAGGCTATTTGTTGCCGGGCTAGGTTTCAAGCGATCACTAACCCAGTTGCAAGGCAACAATCTTCAGTCAGACGTGGCACTGCCACAGTGAATTACCCAAGGTGGCTATACATAAAAAAAAGTAAGTAACCCCTGACAGACAAACCACACCCGAAACAGTGCCACATAATTAGGAAGACCCCCCAAAACATGTCCAGTCAGTCTGTGCGCTTCAAAAAGTTTGCATGCAGCCAATGGGAATCTGCATACCGTTGGCTTTGTCACCAGGTCACTAGGGGATACCCCTTTAAGTGACTACTCACATGCACGGTGGTCCCGTATAGAGCTAGGCTGGGAGGCTGTGCAAGCCTCCGACTTTGAGCCTGAAAAGCTGAGCCAAGCTTCACTTCAATCCAACGTCTGATCACGAAGTAGTCCATTGGAAGCACTAAGCCCTTAGCCGCCAAATCCCAACCCCAGAGTTCACTGCCAGTTGAATTGACTTCCGGGCTTCTGAAGCCAATAGGCAGTCCCTCTTCCTGCAATGTCATCTGCATGGCCGGTACTGCTATCAGTACTCTAAAATGCTATAGTCTGCTCGACTCTACTCCGCTTTGCTCCGCTCTTCATTCATTCATTCATTCACTCTCTCTCTCCCTCTCTCCCTGTCCAGTACTCTCACAACCTCATACTCAAAAGCCATCCCAGTCACCCAACCGACACCTCCATGGCGTAGCGCCGGGCACAGACTTGTGCAAACAGGGAGCAAAGGCTGACGCCCAGCCAGGAGCTGCGGAGGAACAGCACCTGCATGATTGCGCAAGCACAGTCTGCTTAAAATTCTAGTTTGCAGAGAACAGCAATGAACAAATCAAGTGGGTGGGGCAAACAATCTCAGGGACTGGTATAAGTCTTCCAGGCCCGGCTACAAAAATGATGGCCTGCGCAGAACGTACCTACGGGGATGTGATCCTGGCTTGCTTGCTCAACGTATCCTACTGAAGATGCGCAATCCTCAGTATGGGTGCGGTCTAGGGCTCTATAAGGCCTTCAACCCAGAAGCTGAAATCGTCTGACTGCGCGGGGAGGCAAGAAAGACTCCAGTGTATACTTCTTTGTTGCTGGGTGCTTCGCAGTAAACTTGGCAAGTGGCCATCTAATTCAAGGGCAACCTGCATAAGCCCTGACAATTCATAAGATAGCGACGTCGGGGCAAAGGACTGACCATGACATGATCAGACTTGTCACTGCGTTGCTCTTGCTGTGTCATTAA